TGAACTGGCATTTGTTTTTTTGTTCATAATTTTTAAGAATTTATATGCAGTCAAACTGGCTTTTTGTTTGTTTTGGTGTACAGTTCTTTGGGTTTTAACACATGTATAGATTTATGTAACCACCCTAACAATCAGGATATAGAACATTTCCATCACCACAAAATACCCCCTTGTGCCATCCTTTATAATCATACACTCTCCCCCACCACCCTTACCCACCGGCAACCACTAATCCATTCTCCGTCCCTGTAGGCTTGCCTTTCTATGTCATATAAATGAAACAATATAGAATGTAACCTTTGGAGACTAGCGTCTTTCATTCAGCATAACACCTTTGAGATTCATTTATGCTTTCGAGTGTATCAATAGTTCTTTTATATTGCTGAATAGTATTCCATTGCATGGATGTGCCACAGTTTATCTATTCAACCATTAAAGGACATTTGAGCTGTTCCCAGTTTTTGGAAATTACGATAAAATTGCTATAAAATTCACATGTGAGGTTTTGCGAGAACATAAGTTTTCATTTATCTAGGATAAATACTTAGGAATGGAATTGCTAGGTCAAATGGTTAAGTCTATATTTAACATTATGAGAGACTGCCAAACTTCCAGAGTGGCCTTGGCAACTTGCATTCACGTCAACAAAACATGAGACTTCCACTTGCTTTGCATCCTTGCCAGCCCTTGACGTTGTCTGTTTGTGTGTTCATTTTTGTCTTAGTCATCCTAAGTGTATAATGGTGTTAGTGGTATCCCATTGTGGTTTTATTTTGCATTTGCTCCATGGGCTATTCAATAATGTGTTAACTTCCTACTATGGGAGTAAGGGTTCCATATATCTTTTTTTAGCTCATTTCTAATTTAATCTCATTATGGTCCGAGATACACTTTCGATGTATCTCTGATTTCAATTCTTTTAAATTTCTGAACATTATCATCGATCTGGGTGAACGTTCCATGTGCCTTGAAAAGAATTTATATTTCTGCTGTTGTGGGGTGTTTATAAATGTCAATTAATTACAGTTGATTGATTCAATTAATTGTTCAATTTGACATTTTTGATGATTTTTTTTCTACTTATTCTATTAACTACCAAGAGAATGTTGAAATTTCCAACTCTAATTTTCAATTTCTCTATTTCTCCTTTCAGTTCTATCAGTGATTGCTTTGTGGATTTTGAATCTCTGTTATATAATCTAATTGTTATGTCTTCTTAGTGTATGGATGCTTTTAATAATATGTAATGTCACTCTTAATTGCTTGTAATTGTCTTTGCTGTAGGTCTACTTTGGCTGTTATTAATATGGTGCTCAAGCTGTCTTGTGATTAGTATTTGCATGGTTTATCTTTTCCCCTCTTTTTACTTTTAAACTACCAATCAACGTATTTAAAGTGGATTTCTTATAAATAGCATATAGTTGGTTTTCTTCTTTTTATTAATGTCTGCCTTCTAAGTGTGTGTTGAAACCATTTACATTTAATGTAATTATGATATGTTTGGATTTATGTCTATCATTTTATTATTTGTTTTATGTTTCTCTCCTCTGTTGCTTGTTCCCCTGTTTTTCTTTTCCTGCTTTCTTTTGGATTATTTGAATATGTTTTTAGTATCCATTTTAATTTACTGGGTTTAGCTATAACTATTTGCAGTTTTTTAGTTGTTGATCTAGGGATGATAATGTACATACCTAGCTTTTTACATTATACTTAAAATTAATATTTTACCATTTTCAAGAGGAATGTGGAAATCTCACCACTATGGAGATAACTTTACCTTCCCCCTTTATGTCGTGATTGTCATATGTATTACATCTACAAACATTAAAAATCCTGTCTTAAGTTTTGTTCTTAATCATCATATACATTTTAAAGAAATTAAGAGGAGAAAATTACTGTATTATATTTACCAAGATATTTACTATATCTGTTGCTTTTCTGACTTTCCAATTTCCTTCCAATATCTTTTCTGTCCACCTGAAAAATGTCCTTTAGCATCTCTTTTGGAGCAGGTCTTTAAGCGACAAATTCTCTTGGTTTTCCTTCATCTGTAAATATTTGTATTTTTCCTTTGTTCCTGAATAAGAGTATTTTTGCTAAATGTTGAATTTTAGGTTGACAGGTCATTTCTTTCAGCACTTTAAAATTGGTTTTCTACTGCCTTATGACTTCCACGGTTTCTGATGAGAAATCCATAGTCATTCAAATCATTATTCCCATATACATAGCTCATCTTTTTCTCTGACTGCTTCCAAGATTCTTTTTTTGTCTGGTTTTCAGCAGTTTGATTGTGATTTATTTTGTTTTTCTATTCTAAAATGTCCATTTGATTCTTTTCCACAGCTTCTATAGCTTCTATTTCCCTACTGAGACTTTCCATTTTTCTTTTCAAGGGTCCTTTTCCTTTTCTCTTGGAGCCTGGCTATAGCAGCTGCTTTAAAGTCTTCGATTATTTTCAACATCTGGGTCATGTCAAAGCTGGTATCTGTTGAGTAACTTTTCTCTTGCAATTTCTTGCTATTTCCTTGTGTTTTTTATGTTGAATAATCTTGGGTTTTGGCTTTAGTCCCCTCCTCTACCACACGCTTCCTGTGACTGAGTCGGTGTCCAGAGCCAAGTGGCAAGAGGAAAGAGAGAAAAAACAAAAGCAATGGGGATTCTCGCCACACTCTTCCAAACACAGTCCCTCCAGTCAGAGAGGAGGATTCCCCTCCTTCAGAGATTACGTGCTTTCCTGGCCTCTGCTGTTGTCCCACCACCAGAGGACTACATGTAGCTTCAGGACTTGAGCTCGCCTGAGGGCAGGTCTAGGAGAGAAAAAATCCAGTGGATTCCCCTACTCTGTCTATTAGGTGAACGCTTCCCTTCTCACTCCTCAAACCAGAAAGATAACGCTTCTCTTGAAGCTCTTTTTCATCCATGCTGGAGTGCAGTTCTGAGATTTGGGCTGCCTTTGAGTTCAGACCACGACAGGAAACTCACTGCCAAACAGCTCATACTCCAAGTAGTGCCTGTCTTCCCCGGTCTCCCTGCTACCACATATTTCTCAGTCTTCAGATAGCTGTTCCATATCTTTGGTCCAGGGATTTCAGCTAACTCAGTGGGAAATTCAGGGTGGAATGTCCTTACTCCATCTTAACCAGGACTGGAGGCTCTTCACAATGTTTTAAATCAGAATAAAACTACTTATTAAGAAACACGTTATATATTATATATTAAATTTTATAAATAAATACGACACTTTTGCTATTTTAAAATATTCTATAGAGGCTAACAACTTATCAGTTATAAAACATTAGTAAGATTATGAATTGTGTTGGCTAATAATTGAAGTATCTATAAATAAATCTGTGAGATAATACAGAACAAAATGTGGCTTAACACAAGCTCATAACTCCAGCTAACATTCGTGATGCTTTACTACGTACTAAGTGCTTCCCCTGAACTTCCACGTTTACTCTTCACAGTGACCTTGTGAATTAGCTACTATTATCCATGTCTTACAAGGGTGGAATGGGTGCCTCAGAGGAGCTCAACCCATTTTTCAAGGAAACAAAGGGTACAAATTGGCTTGTTGTGCAGGGGTAGATTGGTAAACTTTTTCTTAAAGAGCCAGATAATAAATATTTTAGGCTTTGTAGACCATGCAGTCTCTGTTGTAAATACTCTACCATTGTAGCAGAAAAGTAGCCATTTGTAAATAAATGTGGATGGTTGTGTTCCAATAAAATTTTATTTACAAAAACAGGCAGCTGGTCCCTGGACTGTAGTTTGCCAACCCTTGCTCTAGACACCAAAGGTCTCACTACTCGGGTTTACCTCTTTTCCACACAAATCACTTATTTCCCATGCAGACCTGTAACTTGATCATGTTTTCCCTTACAATAAATAACTAGAATCAGTTGTAATTATATTATTATATTAGAAGCAAGTGTACTTTTTAAAGTCAGAATCAGTTTTTTAAATTTGAAATTTCTGTCACTGTTTATTTTTGTTGCTGCTTTTCACTGTTTATTTTTGTTATATCAGTCCTATAATTTACTGAACAAGATGAATTTATAGCCAGTCGAATACCTCTGTAGAAAAACATAGCCAGCCAGAAAATATTATCCAGGAATGCTCGCTGACTCTACTACCTTCTGAAATTTCAGGCATTGATTCTTAACATCAGTACAAAGTTACACAGGAAGCTGATGTGGAGTAAGCAGACAAATAGAATTGCTGATTTGAGAGATTAAGAAATGGTAAAGGCAATTTAGAGCAGAGAAAACAAAGTGAACTCAGTATTTCTTTTCCTAGAAAAAACAGCATGAAACATTTGAATCAATCCTTTTAAAGTTTTTCTAAATCCTATTATTTTCAATAGGTGTTCATATCTAATTCTATCAATTTATAGATTTTTAGTGTCCTAAGAGTCATTAAATATATTAAACTTTATCATATTAGTCTGTGTTCTTCTGTGTTTACCCTTTTACTTGGCAAACATGATATTAATTTTCATTCAATTTTATTTCCCATATTCCTATAAGTTAGTGTAAAATAGACGACACTGCTGTTTAACAGTTAACCATTAGACTGAGATGTGTAAAGTCCTGTAAATTATTTGGATATTTTGGAAGTTCTATCTGGAAATATATTTAAAACAATAAAGAGTAGATACTTGTTTTTTCATTTTTAAAATATGAAGGTGATATAATTTAAAGTAGAAATTTACAATGACAAAAAATGCTATTAATTTACAATCTGGTTCAGATATCTGCTTTAATTCCACCTGTGTAGTAAAAATTGTTATTTAAAACCAAAATTTAGGGGGCTGGCCCCATGGCCGAGTGGTTACGTTGGCGCGCTCTGCTGCAGCGGCCCAGTGTTTCGTCGGTTCGAATCCTGGGCACGGACATGGCACTGCTCGTCAGACCACGCTGAGGCAGCGTCCCACACGCCACAACTAGAGGAACCCACAACGAAGAATACACAACTATGTACCGGGGGGCTTTGGGGAGAAAAAGGAAAAAATAAAATCTTTAAAAAAAAAAAAAAATTAAAAAAAAAAAAATTTAATAGCTGCTTTGCATCCAAACTGGAGAGGTTTGTGGAAGAGCCTTCAACCACATCTTTAATATTTTAGTTTCTAAGTATCATGATCAAAACTTGATTACTGTGACTTCACCGTGAGATTCTGTGATTTCAGTATATTATTGTTAGGGTTAAGTTTTCACAGATCTACTAAATGTGCAGGTGTTCATGGGCATGGCATTTAGGGAATCAAAGAGTCTGACTTCCACATCAGGATCATCGTGGAGCATGGGGAAGAGAGACCAAGCCCCAGCAGTAGACTTGATAATTCAGCAGGGCTGTGTCCTTGGAGGCCGATGTGACCAAGAGAATACAAAATCTGTAAATTGGCAAAAAGCTTGGACTTCCCACAGAAAAGACTGCTCAATTTAAATAAAATCCCAAAGGACAGATTGACCTCAACTAGGTCAGTTCTGTTCTAGAGTCGTGCAAACGCTGTGCAATTTTTAAGCCAGACTTCACAGGATTACCGGGCAAAGTGCTCATTGTTCAGTTGGAACATAAAAAATAATTTTTTAATTTATTTCTGTTGTTGTCTCCAAGGAAGAACTTTAAAGTGTTTTTTATGAAAATGCTTTACTCTGTGTAAAGAAAACAAATGAAAATTCCAACAAAAACATAGAATGTTTCCTTCCATTTTTGCATTTCTAAGGTCCATTTGTAAAGGATAAATCATTTAAACCTCATTTTTAATTTCAAAATAAAATGTAATTTACTTTAAATTTCTTGGCTACATTGGTACTACTAGGATATCTTTGAAAATAAAAATAGTAAAAAGAGTATGTGAAACCCCTAATATTTAGATTTCATATGTGTATGCTATATATCCCAATGCAGACTCAGTGATGTTTATCTTTTTACTATGTGGAAATAGAAAGTATAAACCTCATATTTGTTATTTCAACTCTGGCTGCAAAAATATATCTGAAATCAGATTCTGCAAGTCTCAGTTAGGAATTTAATGACAAATCTTGAAAGAATGAGACTATTGCCATATATGTTTTTGAACAGAGCCTTGAACTAACCACTATATTGTCTTAGATAACAAGCAGTTTGTTGGATATTTATAATTCCAAACCAAAAAAATTTAGGTTATATCTATTTTAATCTATATCTTTTTACCATAAAATTTTTACCTGTTTATTTACCATTTAATTTTTATCTGTTTGTTTGCTAAGAAAGTCAAAGTGCTTTCATAAAACAGTGAAAATACTTTTTATAGTTCCAAGGAATTTTCACTTATAACTTCAAGGCAATGATTATTTGTTATGGGAAACTACATTTGTTTTGGAAATGTGTGTTTGTTCACTTAACATTGAATCCTATGTTGTAAAAGGTGATTAAATTTACCTACCAATCTTGTGATAATTAACTCAGTAAGACCTTATTATTTTTATTCTATAATTTCTCATATATAAATGACTTGATTTTTCAGATAGTAAGCATAGAAACTCTTAGTTATTCATATCCTGCTACAGAAATAGCTGTAAAAAAACACCATGACTTCAACAATTTATTTCTTAAAAGCATCACAAATCTAAATTTCTCTTTGACAGATATATCTTGTGTATTATTGAAAATACTATATTTAGCTTTATTTTTCATTTTGCAAAATTTCTCTTCATTATAAATTATCTAATGTATATTTTTGTTTCAAATGAACTTCTTGCCTCCAGTGTGACTATATTTGGATATATTTGGGCCTGGAGGAGGTCATTAAGGTTAAATGAAGTTATAAGAGTGGGGTCCTACTCCAGTAGGTTTGGTGGCCTTATAACAAGAAGAAGAGAGAGGGAGATCTTTCTCTTTCCGCAAGATAAGAACACAGCAAATAGCTGGGCTGTCTGCAAGCCAGGAAGAGTATCTTCACCAGAACTTGACCCTGCTGCCCCCCTGATCTCAGACTTCCAGCCTCAAGAACTGTGAGAAAATAAGTTTCGGTTGTAAACCACCCAGTCTACGATATTTTGTTATAGCAGCTCACATTGACTAACACAATGCTTATGCTATGGAGTCCAACCAAGCTTTATCATAGCTCTACAAGAAGGTATTAGACATTGGCCCAACCCAATAATAAACTGGCACTGTGTTTCACATGGATAACCTACTTAAGGTACCCCACTGGTGGCTGGAGTAACCCACAAGGGAAGACTCATATACTTGTGTTCTGGAGAATTATAATCTCAAATATTGTAAAACCACACTCTTGGATCTACAATTCTGTTACCACCAATAGGCCAGACCATCATCACGTTAGACTTGGGTCATTTCAGTGACCTTCCAAAAGTTCATCCTTCTCTCTGTCCCCACTGGGTATAGTTATCTTAATCATATTTTTAAAATAACATTTCACCCTGTTCAAAAATCATCAAGGCTGAAGATCCTTCATTGTTTATGAGAGATTTTAATCTGAAAGTCTAGCTCTCATGATCCTCTGTAATTTGGGCCTAATTTAAATTTCTCACATATAATAAATGCTCAGTAAATACTTGTATAATTAATTTTGTGTTTCAACATGTTCTCACTGTCTCCTGAACTTGCCATCATGATTCCTGCTTTTTTGATCTTGGTATATCCTGTGATCAACCCCCTACCCAAAGTATCTGTCATAATCCTACATATTCTAAGAGAACAAACACAAAATCCATTTCCTGCAAGAAACTTCCCCAATTCCAAACCATGAGGGTATTTTTCCCTATGACTCCTCTGCCTCTTTTGACCTGAACTTTTCATTCTAGCATTGTGTGCATTAGGTGTGTGAGCACGTATTACTAGCATTTTTTGTATCTTATTACCCCATCTAGATTGTAAACTTCTGTAGGATGTCCATTCTCAGTACCTAGTCTTCTTCATTAATCCTTCCCTGGAAACTCAGCCTGAAATAATCTCTCTACTTCAAATATTTAGTACTTATTTTCTATAGCTTTCATTCGTCTCTTAATTATACCCAGTATTCTATTTGCTATTTGTCATGTATTATTATTATATTCTTCACATGTTCTTGCTCAATTAACTAGATTTTAAGTTCCTTGCAGTCACAGGCTTTTATTCTTACAATGTCTAGAACAGAACTATGTAAAAATCTGCATATAAAGAGACACAAAATTATAGCCTGAAGGGACAAAGTCCAGAAGTCAGAAGACCTGAGTTCTAGTCCTTTGTTTAGCCAACCAAGCATCCATTCTGGGCAGTCTTTTAATAAGCCTTTCTGGGTCTTTCTAGACTAAAGTTGTGGTGGGATACTGTTAAGACCTTTTAAAGATTTTTTGAAATTAGGTCATAGTTTGCCTCTTTCTGCAGTGTCCAAATTCACACACAAAGAGATGAAGTATCTACCTCTGAAAAGAGGATGGTGACAAAGGAGACCACAATCACTGGAAGTAGCCAATGGGGTATTTGAGCAAGTGCAAAGGTTATCTGAAGACTGTAAATTCTTTCAGAGGATATACTTGGTTTTACTTTGCTGTTTTCTAGGAGTTGGTTACCCAAATGCCTGGGTAAGCATAGTGTATTACTCAGGGTTCCCCAGAGAGACAGAACCACCAGATCGACAGGGTTAGGCCATCAAACTGAAGCCCCAGGGTAGAATTGCAGTTCTAGTCCAAAGGCACTCCTTTGGCAGAATTCCTTCTTACTCAGGGGAGGTCAGTCTTTGTTCTATTAAGGCCTTCAACTGATTAGCTGAAGCCCACCCACATTATGGAGGCCAATCTGCTTTTCTCAAAAATCACCAATTTAAACATTAAACTCATCTGGAAAATACCGTCACAGAAACACTTAGAATAATATTTGACCAAATATCTCGACACTGTGGCTTAGCCAAATTGATACATAAAACTAACCATCACCAATAGATTCTGTCATTGAGGGAAACAGAGAATAATTTAGATGGCAGCTTTAATTTCATTCCATGGACAGTTTATCAGTCCTCTCCTTCATGATCTGAAATTCAAGTGAGCAGGAATCAATGCCTTTCTTTCTGTCATTCTCAACAGATTCAGTGTCCTCATTTAGAAAAAGCAATTACGCTACAGCATATGGATCTCAAATAAGAGAATCCCCTCATATACACCAACCCTGCCACTTACTCACTAAAACTTTGGAAAAGTCATTTCATCTTATTGAATCTCAGTTTCTTCAATGTGAAAATGGGAAGAATACCACCTACCTCACAGGTGGGTTATGAAGATCACGTGAAACTATATGGGAAGCAATATGCTTAGTAACATGTTAACCATAACCATTACGTGTTAAATAAGACTACTTAAAAACAACTGTTTTGAAGTCCACACCGTTCCCTCATAATTTCAATCATTTACTAAACATTTATTGAAACCATTGACTGAAGTATTAAATTTCCCAAAAACAACAATGCCCTGTGAAAGTGTAGAGAATTATCAACAGAACTGAATAAATAGTTGATATATGCATAGTTATTACCAACTCAAGTAGAGCTGGGCACGGGATGGGCTCTTAGATTTTAATAACAGTATTAGGTCATTAAATCGGCACTACTATCTGTCAATCAAGGGATCCAAGGTTGGGCTTCCTAGAAGCAGGACTGAGAGGGAGATTCTTACGGAAGTAATTTGTTAGAGATGACTCCTCTAGAGTGAGGGAAGCAGGTTAGGGCAATAGGGAAGAAGAAAGATAGGCAAGGATGGGATCTTACCTGAAGACTGGCTTCAGCTCCCCTTGAGTCAAAGGCTAGCCTGCTGTAGCCCAGAGTTAGGCAGTCACTGACTGTGGGCTGCCCTCCTGATGATGAGGGCCAAAAGCTCTCAGGTGTGGCAGCACTCTTTACAAGAAGGGCAATTTTTTAGAGAAAGAAATAGCTGTGGGTTATCAGCCAGTATGCTCAACAGCTGAAGCTGGATGCACCTTCTGGTAAAGGGGATTTGAGAATGCAACAACCTCCATGACAAAGGGTCGTTGATGTTCATGACAATAACAGAGGCACTGCAAAGGTGTTAAGAGCTCTCTGAATTCTCAAAGACTTGCTGGCATCCACTATAGTCTTTTATAGTGTTCAAATTCTTTGAAACTGGTGTTCCTTGAATTATATGTAAATTAAGTTTCTATGAATACTAATATTTTATTATCTAGAATTTCTCTTTCTCAGGCAAATATAAACTTTATTATGTTTTGTAAACAGAACCAGAGGAGACTTATTTCTATTTTGTTGATTATCTGTTAGCTGCTAAGAAACATAAATGTACATAGACTTAAGCAACTCTGTGTTTCTTGGAAACAGCAAGCAAACAACTGCTGGATCCATACGATAAAATCTGACAGTGGTATACCAAATTTATACTTTTGGTATACACTCTAAGTAAGAAGTAAGTAAATAGAGTGGTATACCTTCAATGTAAAACTGTAAACAAGCAACTTTCCTAGAAAGATAGGTTTGTAAATGTTGGCATTTGTATAAATATTTAATGCAGATAATTCTAATAACATGTGTACCCACAACAAAAACTAAAGCTTTAGTTTTTCATTTTTACCTGTTTGCTCTTAAGGCAAAACCAAGTAATCAATTACATTAATAATTAGCATGTGTTTATAGAGTGAATTCTCACATGCTGTTTCCATTAAAAGCTAGCTGCAAAAACTATAGTATCTAATAATCTTTTTAGGAAACAGAGCCATAAACCTTTTAAAATCATAAAGAAGTGCCAAGACATTCATTTGGGTGATTTATAATGGGAGAATTTTCCTTTTCTGTCCTTAGTATAAATACTCTGACATCATCATCAACATTATATAATATTTATTTGTACTACGTCACAGAACTTTTAAGAAAACTCTTTTAAAGGCCCTGGGAAGCTGCTATGATTAATAATAAAGCAAAGCGGAAAGGACTCCTGATATACTGTATTTCTCTTTTTTCTGTTTCTCTTCCTTTGGGTGGGGAAAAAGAGCACCTGAAAACACTTGATTTTCCTGGCAGTAATAGGCAAAACTGGATAAAGCTGAAGTTCACAACGTCTCAAAACAGTTCTGGGCATTGGTTTCCATTTAAATTTGTAGAGTTACCCCATGACATAAAAGACACTGCAAAAAAATGTTTTTGTTGTTGTCTCTAAATTGTCTCTGTTTTCTTAGCATCAGTTTGGCTACACCAAAAGAAAAATGTGTAACCAAATAGCCTCATAATCTAGAGGTAAAGAGAACTTTAATAAAAACTCAAATGCACAATTCATATGGAAAATACATTGATGGACTTGACAGAATTAAAGTTAAAGATTTCTGTTCCATGAAAGGCATCAGAGACAAAGTTATCAGATAGTTGACAAACTGGAAAAAGATTTTTAAAATAATCAAAATTAGCAAAAGGTTAACACCTAGAATATACAAGAATTTACAAATCCAGAAGAAAAAGATGACAATCCCAATATAAAGTATGGCTAAAACTAGGCAATTCATTTAAAGACAAATCGGAATTAGCAAGTATACAAAAAGATGCCCAACTCTTGACTCCCAATGGATCAGCAAAAATTAGAGAAAAGCTGGCTATTAATGAGATATAGGAAGACCGGCACTCTTGCCCACTGCTGCTGGGAGTGTACACTGACACAGCCATTGTAGATGGCAATCTGGGCATACTTACTGGAAATGAATATGATCCAGTAATCCATTCCAGGGGTGCATCCCAGAGAAACTTGAGCCCAGGTTCATAAGGGGACAGGCACAAAGATGTTCATTGTAGCAGCAGGTTAGAGGCAACCTGGTCTGTCACTGCAGGAAAGGGTAAATAAAATGTGGTGCATGCAGAGAGTACAACACTATCCAGCATTCAGAAGCAATAAGCTAGTGTTACATACAGCAACATGGGAAATCTCTAAATGAATGTTTATTTAAAAATTACAAACTGAATAAAGGCTACAGTATAAAGTACGTAAATTAAAAACAGATGCATATATAAAACAGTACCATATATGTTTCCAGGAACCACATACATCAAAGATATCTGTGAACTTAGAGCTTAAATGCAATATAATGGTGCTTATAGTAAGGAGACTGGTCAATAGAGTTAAAATGGAGGATGAAAGCCAAAATAATAAAACGGAAAAAAAAGAAAGAGATGCCTTTGCACAGAAGTTGATGTATGTGCTGTACACGAGGAAGTATTATTAACTCAACACCATGAACCTGAGATCAAAAATACATAAGCAAACACTGAGGGGGTGTAGCTCAGTGGAAGAGCGCATGTTTCGCATGCATGAGGCCCCGGGTTCGACTCCCGGCACCTCCAAGCAGTAATTGGTCCTCAAAAACACGTGAAATGAGCTAAAAGTATATAAATTATATAATGATAGTTCCTGTCCTTTGTAAGTTAAACAGGAAAAAATGTTACAACAGGAACAAAAATATATACCAAACTCTCCTTGCTTCTTTACTAACTGTCATAAAACAGGCTAGGCTTGCATCCTTTTCTTAAGGAGACTGATGCCTTTGTCCCCTCATCCTCAGTGATCGTTACCCAACCAATAACACTGTTCAAGACACAATTTGAGTTCTACTTCTCTATAAAACCTTTTAAATTGTTCCTTTCATGTAAATATCTTCCTGAAACCAGTTACTTTTATAAGCTCTACCACAACATCTAAGACAACAATATATTGAATATATTGTCCTCTATTGCTCTGTATTGTGTTATGCCCAGGGCTTCCTCTACCAGATGGTAACTTCCTAGAGACCAGGGAGACTTCTTCAGAGCTTTCTGTCATGCCTAGAACAGTGTGGCATACATAGGAGTATCTCAGTAAGTATCTGGATTAATAGATTTTCAGATGAGATTTGGAATTGTGGTAGCAAGGGACAGATAAATGGGATTATAACTGATTGCTGAAAAAATTTCTCCTTTTGTAGCTAGGAACTAGTTTTAAAAGTAGAGGAGAAAGAGGTAGAATAATTGCTATCACACTGTGAACAGAGTAGCCCTCTGGTCAATGAAAGAGATGAAGTTTGCTTTAGGTTCCTCTTTTTCCCCTTTTCTTGAGGTTTTCTTGTCTAGGACTATCACTGTTATTTTCCCTGAACACCTAAAGAATTTTGTTTTCACTTCAATCTACAAACCAAAACTAAGAGCCAACTCAGAACGTGCTTCTTCAACCTAGAACACTGTTCAACAGCCCGTTCCCACTTTTAAGGGAAATACCCATCTTTTGTTTTTGATGGAAATTATCGTTTTGTTATGATTACCAAGTGTATGAACTAATTTTACATACTAAACTATGGTGGATCATTCCTCTGGAGGCTGTGGAGGGAAGAAACCCCTGTTATAGTGGAGTTAGTAAACTGAGTTAGATTCTCACTGAGTTTCAGAATCTCATTTAGCTGTGCTCTGCATATAATTTGAATGAAAGCCAAAGGTTGCCTCTGAAAGGGAAATTGATCTTTGCGTAGGATCCAACAGGAAGTTGGAAATTTAAAACGAGAAGATACATGTAGCTTGCTCAGCCCCTTGGAAGGTGCAAAAGAGATTGGATTGGCTCCAGGAAATGTGGTTTAAGGCAAAGTAATGCTAAGTGGAAAGAATCAGGGATATGATGTAATGAGACAAGCGTACAATATCCATTTCAGGCATTTACTAGTTTTGTGATCTGCATAGAGTCGGTAAGCATCTCTGAACCTTTGCTTTCTTTTACGTATGATAAAGAGATGGTGAGATCTCTAATTCATATTTGTCTATGAATGTTATCATCACCTAGAAAGATCACTTGGCAGCTGAAGAAAATTATGAACAGACAAGAGCTTAGGAACATAAAAAAAGGAACTGAGCTTCATTCATTTTAGTAACTGGCTAGTAATGAAAGGGGCCTGAAACATTGTAGGTACTCAATAAACATCTGTTGAATGAATGCATCAGAAAAATGGAATAGATGAGAGAGGACGTAAAGTTAGAAGAGGGCACCAAGAGCAAATGGACTCTCAGGCCAGGCATGTAGCAGGCAGAGGAAAGAACTTACAAGGCAGATCAGAAATTGTCCTCTTCACCCAGCTGTCAGGACCAGGGAAAAGCTGCGGGACCCAGGTAGCTGGAGCATCAAGTGCTGAGAGCCCACTACCTATAGAGGACATTAGCAGGCTCATGTTAGAGAACTGAGATTCACAGTAGTAACGCCTACCCAAAACAACCTTAAACAACAGATCTGAACATTTGGATTTTCTGTGAGGCAGCCAGAAGGCAAGGTGAGGAAGGGAAGTGAGGAGTTCCATGAAGTCGTCATAGGTAGAACCACACAGACACATGCTTAAATACAAGCTACCATTCACTAGTAGGATAGACACGGGCCAAACAATGAATCTCTCCGAGACATCTAGAAAATGAAGACTTTAATCCTGAATAATGAAAATTATAGTAGCTACTCTGTAGAATTGTTTTGAAGATGAAATCAGTGAATATATGAAAAGAACCTAAAACAAGCTTAGCACGATTTTTAAGAGTGTGAATATCATTATTGTGTTTGTTGTTATTGGAGCTTTTATGCCCCATAAGGTGTGTATCAGCCAACTCAGTTTTTGTCTTGACTTTAGTTCAAGAACTTGTAATTTGTAAAGTGCTTCTTTATTTTGGGGTTTATTTTGGGGTCTTCTTCCTCCTTAGTGCTCTCTTAAAAGGTCCCCCCTTCCTCCGATTCTAATTTTGTCTTAGCAGCACTGAGGACAAAGGTCCTTTCCATGGTTAATCCAGGGAGGCTAAGGGGCTGGTGTGGCTGTGGTTTGGCCAACCAGGCCCAGGATCTCAGATCCCAGAGAAGCAGCAGAGCCAGGGCAGAAGCAGGGAAGGGCAGGAGTGGAGACCTGGAGGACTCCAGGTAAGAGATGGACTACACCACGTTCAATGCTCTGAGAGCACCTTCGCAGTAGGAGATGATGGCCCGCGAAGTGTTTGTTTCCTTGTTCGTAACATATTCGTTTGAATGGAGAAGAAGCCTCTTGACTCATAAGGCAACTGTAAGACACACACTGTTTGCAAGATGCATACTTTTAACAGTAGACAAAGTTAGATAGGATGTCAAAACTCTGCAACTGAACAGATTAATAAGAAAACGAATCTAAGGTTTGTTATGGAAATCGTATTAATACAACCTGCCGGTAGATATACTAGTAACAACGAACAACATGGCTCGTTTACCACTGCCAAATCAAATTTTCAAAGATATTCAGTTCTGGTGAAAAGTATTCAACTGCTAGGCACAGGTTTTAGCTAGCTGTGAAGTTCCCTTCACCCCCAGGAGGTTGTGACTGACAGCCACAGGCCTCGTGCTGTCTTGGGGAGATTATTCCCCTTCAGATCCCGGAGCAAACACAGTTTTGGGTTTTCCTCCTCAGTTAGGAGGCCAGCCGACTATTCCAGCTCGGGGAGGAGAAAGAACAGGCCCGAGCGTGCCGAAGGGAGCGGCGGGGAAGGCAGGGCGCGGCCCCACTCCTCATTTGGGGCCCCAGCGTTCCTGCTGGGAAACCGTTTTCCAGCGCTTCCATCCTTGTCAGGTCCACAATCAGGGGAGATAAAGCACGGTTTCTGCTCCAAAAACGTGCTTGACTCCTAAAGCCGCGAGGGGAGATAAAGCCTAGGGAACACACTCAGGTAAAGCCGTGTGACCCACTGGCGGAAAACCGAGAGGGTGCTGCACACATCGTGCGCGACGCCGCTTCGGTTTGTTTGCCTCGAGCGCTCAGGGAGGGACAAACGAGAAGACAGCACTTCACTGACGGACCGGGGGCTGGAGATGGGGGCCCGCGACGTGCTGGGATGCTCTGCAGGAGAGGAGGAGGTGTGAGGGGACAGGCTGGCGGCGAACAAAGGCGCCGTCGGGGCCGCGGACCCAGGAGCGACGCGAGCGCCCGGCGCCCTCAGGCAGCGGTGCGGCCCCCACAGGAGGCGCGGCGCCCCGCGAGGCCCCGCCCCCGAGCCCCCGCCCCCGGCGCTGGGCCAATGGGAGCGCGGGATGTTAGCGGGTGGGAGGCGCGGCCGCGTTGCTACAGCCGGAGCTGGGCGGTGGCGGGCGCTGTCGGAGGAGGCTCGGAGAGCTCTGTGTGGTGGCGCCATGGAGGGGCTGGAAGGTGAGGAGGGGAAGGGATGCGGGCCGGGGGCAGCTGGGGGGGGGGGGGGGCGGCGCTGACCGGTCCCGGGGAGGCCAGGGCAGGAGGGGAGCGGCAGACCCCGCCGCATCCCCGGAGGCCGGGGCTGGCTGGAGCCCGGCAGCCCCCGGTGAGGTGGAGCGGGTGGTCCTCATGCTGCCCCTGCTGGGACGGGCTCAGCCGGGCTTCGCCGCCCGGAGCCTGATCCTGCCTCCTAACACGCCTGCAAACCCCTTCCTACCATTTTCTGGTCTTGCCTGACTCCTGAGTTTCCTTTTTGGTAATCACAACCTCTGGCCAGATTTTATTTTCCTTGCAAGGTGGCCTCTGCATTAATGTCCACGGCCTCCCCGCCTCCAGCCTTTTCTGGGGCCCCCTGGGTGTGTCTCCATCCTCAGCTTCTGACACTTTCCTTGGCCAGTTTGCCTAGGTCACCGTTTTTCCCTTTCTACAGCATCTTCTATGGAAGGGATGCCAAGAGCATCTCCCAAGGAAGGGTCACTGGCCAGCTTTAGAGCCGGGACAATAGAGTAACGGAAGGATTTAAGGGTTTGTTCACGACGACTCTAAGGAAGGGCCAGCCTTGGTTCCCTATGTTTCGGTTTATCCTTATGCTGTAACCATGACTCCAGATTTTGCTTTGTTCTCAGTTCTTTCACTTTTTCTCCATTTTCTTTACCCATTTTATCCTGTGTAATACAGCATTCGCCTAAAAACAACAAAGGAAAAAAAAAACCAACTAGCATTGGCAACAGCAGTTTCAAGACTCTTTTTTCAAATTGTGGTTAATCCTTCTGATGAAGAATAAGCCTGCAGAATTGATAGATCCTGTTGTCTTGATTTAGCTCTTTTTTCCTCCTCATTTGCATCGATCCAGGTGGAATTAATAAGCAGAGGCATTGACCCTCTAGGCATCGTTGCATGCTGCAAAGTAAATGCTTTCAGGTTCTGTTATGAAGTGAAAAGTAATAACGGGTAACTTTTTCCAGTGACGTAAGCTCACCAAAATGCACATGTGATAATGAATATAATAGTATTTCATGCTTTTGCTCTGAGATGGGGTTCCTATAGTAAAAACCTTGTGGATGATAGATAATGAAAAATTCTGATAATTTGCCATTTGTGGGAAGCTGCAGCATGTTATGATGAATGAAAGTCTTGTTCTTTGCTTGTTTAATTTATTTTAGGCAGATCATTCAAGTTTCAATGGAATAGGAATTGTAATGATAGTACTCCTTACTTTCAAGATACTTTTGTTTAAAAGACTTCTTGGAGGCAGCTTATTTATTTATTTTTTTTACAAATTTTAAAACGTGGTGGCATAGTAGGATCATGGGTTCTGGAATTCTCACAAGGTATCGTAATACACATAATGTGCTTTAGAACAGTTTTTCTGCAGATTTTTATTGTTTTGTTTAACATTTATAATTAAGGCAAAGATCTTCATCTGATTTTTGACTTGTGTATGCTGAGCACCTAAAACTGTCTGACGCAAAGTAGGTGCTGGACATTTGTTGTTAGATAAATGACTTTGTCTATGGTGGGCACCATTGTAGCCCTAGGGATGCAGCAAAAAATCGAAAGTCAAAGCCGTGCTCTCATCAAGCCTACCTGTTAGTGAACCTTATATTTTAGCAGTGCTAAAACATTACTATTGAAACCTTACTAAGAATGCTTTTAGAATATAGTGAAAACCTATTATAATACTCAGTTACATGGGTGGAGAAATACATGAATTCTGATCTAGTATGCTATGTTATGATGGGCGTGTTTTATGGGCCCAGCTTGTGATGTATCATGTTAAAAAGTACTTAACCTTTACTTGTCGTTTGAATTTTTCTTTAACAAAATGAGTTGCTATCATTAACTATAATGTGTTTAATTTTAATGAATTAGGTTAAAATATGTGAAATTGTTCTTTTTGTATGGTGAAACAATTGACTATTGATAATTTCAAGTGGTTTAGACTAATAAAAGCTCTGACGGTTTCTTTTTTTTGAGTTAGGACAGTGTCTTTGTTTCCTTTCATTTTCTTCAAAGCAGTCCCTATTAGGTCATACTTGGCAAAGATCAAAACTTTGATTCTTAAGGTTGCATTCGTTAATTCATTCATCCATGCCTTCTTTTGGTAAACACTGATGCAGTGAAACAGTGATAGATAAGGTAAAGTTTTTGCCCTGTTGAAAGTTAAAGTCTAGTGCCTTGAAAGTGTCTAATAAACATATTGCAGTATCCAGTAGAAAATCTTCAAGAGTTTGCTTAACATGTCATGGTAATTGAGTAAATATTGTACTGTTTGGCACTAGACTCATGTTTCTAGCTAAAACCAGTTACCAGACTAATCTTGATTGTAAAACAAGAAAATATATGAATCCTTGAAAAATTCTATTGAAGATTTTTATACTCTTTCTTATAACTTTTAAATTATTTGCATGTAGATCATATACCACATAGATGTATTATTTTTGGTCTTCTGGGAAATTTGTGCTTCGTGGATTGTCAAGAGATGAGCTATTAGCCTGAACACTGCATCTCAAAACCAAATATGAATTACTGCTTATGATTTTGTATAATCTATATCTAAGCACTTCTGCATTGTGTGGGAAATCAGAGCAAACCCTTTAATTTCTTTTCACTGAAAGCTGGTGCCCTGTAGGTATATCTAAGGGCAATAGAAGTAGTTCTAGACCTTGGAGAGTTCCAGTTTCTCTTAAGCTTTTCATCTGTAAAATGGGAAGATGATAAACTCTAAGCAGATTTTATCCGTATACAGTATTGTCATTCCTTTCACAAGATCAGGCTGCTTATTCCTCTCTTTGACTTTTAAAATTAATAGATCTTAGTATACTATCCTCTAAAACTTAATTAGAAGTCTGATCGCTCGTCTCCAGTGTAGCCCTTGATCTAGTTAAAGACAGCCATCCTGTCCCATTAGAGTTTCTTTTTTGTTTTGTTTTTCCCTGGTCTAAACACCTGCTAGTTGACTGAATAATTCTTCATCTTTGTTAACTTACCTAGCATTTGTTGTTTTTTGGTACTGAGTTGGATACCGAGGTGGGATTTTGATAGCCAGTGTGTTGGAAAGCCCTGAGTTTGGATCCTTGGTTTGTTTCTTTTTAGATCTATGATTTGCACATTTTGCTTAATCTGAACTTCAGTTTCCTCAGCTATAAAAGTTGGAGCTATTCAATACCAATCTACCTGAACTATACTGAGTAGTAAATCATGTAACATATAAAGCATTTTGCGAAATGCCTGCTATATCCAAGGCTTGTACCCCCTCAGTACTTGTTTATTGGATGGATAAAATCACAGGAGGTGTGTTAGGAGCTTAAGCATGGTTCAGTATGGGTAAAACAGCATGCTTGGAAGGGCTTGTGGGTGATCTCACTAGATAGCTATGGCAGTAGGATAGATTGGAGAAGGGAGAGGTGGGAGATAACGTGAATGTGACGAAGATTTGAACTAAGGCAAAAGGAGCAGGAATTAAAAAGGGAGGATAGACTTAGAAGGCATTTCTGAGATGGAAAGATGAGATATGATCACTGAATGTGAGAGAGAAAAGGAAACAAAGATAAAACAGCTTTATTGCTTGGACGAAGAGGTCATATTAGTATCTTTAACCAAGAGGAGGACCAAGTTTGGGAGATGAGGTAATGAGTTGGCTCCAGAAATGTTGTGTTTGTACAGCACTTGGGAGATATCTGGTGGAAAAGCCTCACAGCTCCTTGGAAATATCTATCTGGAGTTTTTAGTTTAGTAGTCATCAGCATATGACTGACAGCACATGGATGCATTCACCCAGGAAAGCTATGTTTAACAAAATGGGGAAAGACGCTTGGGAGGAACTGATGCTTTAGGGTCGAGCAGGAAGGGAAATTGGAGGGAGGGGAGTCTTTAAAGAGGTTTAAAAATTGTCCAGAAAGGGAAATGGGGGAGAAACTTATTTATTGAGTTTATTGAATATTTATTGAATAGTGAATATGTGCCAGCACCTGGTATTCCTGGAGGTCAAAGTATTAACCAGGTCAAACCCTGCTTGGTTTATGAGATCGGCAAAATTTGGGCTTAGGAGAGAGAGAAGTCACTGACGCCAAGAAAGAAAGGACTTCGAAGGTGGAAGGGATTGATCAGCAGTGCCTCATGCTGTAGAAAGATCCAGAGGATGAGGATTCAAAAGAGGGCTTTGAATTTGACAATTAGCAGATTAGTGGTGAGCAGTTGCCTCTGTTTCTTAAGGTCCCTAATGTCTCCTTATTATAGAAACTTTCCCTGATCCTACCCTCTTCCCAAACATACATAACCTTACGACTGTCTTCCCTCACTCTACTCTGTTTTTCCACATTGTGCTTATCGCAGCCTGACATTTTATATATTTAGTTGTTTTTATTTGTGTTTCCGTTATTAGAACAATAGAAGCACTATAAGATCAGAGTCTTTGTTTTTTTCATCACTGTTTGCCTGCCTCCTAGAACAGTCCCTGTCTCAGGCTGGGTACTCAATAAATAGATAATAATTGGGTACTCAATAAATAGATAATAACTGGGTACTCAAATAAATAAATAAATAAATAATTAAAACGAATAGATCTATTTTAATATAGTGGTTAGGCCTGATAATATAACAGTTTGCCTGCAGTTCTGGTAAGGAGAGAAGGAGGTAGAGGGGAGCTAGTCAGTAAATGTAAGCCAGTGTTTCAAAAAAAAGGGTGCTACTCAGTACATTTGTCCTAAACATCTCTTAGGGGCAGCAGGATTTCTTTTGGGGAAATAATGGCACACTAAATCTCTTTTTTAAGACTAAGGAAGTTCTGGTCTGAGAAAACCCATTTGTTTAATCTAGCATTTTCTCAACATTTGACCATTGGAGCAAGGGAGTTGAGGGTGATTGGTGAAAGTCGTGGAAACGACTAGTCAGGGTCAGACGGGGTGGGAAGGGAAGTGCAGCCAGGAACGCATTATCAAGAAAATGCAAGTCACTCTGAGATCAAGAAAGCGATGTAGAGAGGGGTAAAAGGTGGAGTCTGTGGTTAAAGAGGGAGCTTTGAGTTTTTTAAGAGTCCAGAGGAGGGCCCTTTCTAAGTTGCTTTAAGAGTGGTCGTTTTTGCTGAACTGGAGTGCAGATGGCTGAAGTGGAGCGGAGGGGGAAGGTTATGTGTTGGGTAGGTGAAGTGTGAAATTGAAATGTTGAAATCTAGGATGAGCTGAAAAAGGAAAATCTTCTGCAATATTAGAGATTGTTGACCTAGAAGTAATTAGATTTTAAAGAGGTTGGTAAAAAGAACATGGTGCAAATGTCATGTGCTTCAAAGAGAGATTTATTGAGTTTTAAAGTTGGATTCAGATGAGCACTGGCCAGTGGTGAGGAAATACATGTGCTATACAGAGCCCAGAACTGTTCTTAATTTCCAAGATTTCTTTTCTTTTGAAAATGTTCTTTCTCATTTTTAAAATGTATAGATTTTAGAATGTCATAGCTATTTTAGATAACAGCGTATTATTTCACATCACCTATATAATAGTGTTATATAAAGATACCATTTCAAGCCTTGTTATCGTGCAGGTTTTGAGGTTGCTAAATAACGGACGGCACCTCATAACAGAATCAACAATGTGTGCTCGATAAGTTTTGTAAGGAGGGATTGGCTTTTGAGAGTTTTAGAATATTCAAGTGCTTTGTTTACTTGGTTCTGTCCATCAGTTCGACTGCTACTTTCAACGATGTTTGCTCTCTCCCCTTGCATATCATCTCTTTACTGTATTTTACAAGCCACACAGTTCGCTAGCTTTTGCTGCTCAGGAGGGTTTAGTGGAGTTTGTCTGCATGCCCTGGAGAGTAGTGGTTTTTTTTCATTGTGAAGAGTTTTTGTATATAACATCTGAGTTAAATTTTAAGGCCAATTGAGCAGATATCCTTATTTAACAGATGTTAAACTGAAGCTACATGTAGGATTAGTCATACATTTTCTTCTATTTGCTGTTGTGAAGACTTTTCCAAGCAGGAGAAAGGCCATGTTCTTTTGCTGTAGTTCTTGCAGATTCTCAGCTCTGCATATAGACAAGTGGAAGTGATTTCCTCTACATACTACACACTACCTGAAGCATGCATTCCACCATCTGCAATTGGTCCGTTGGCTTAATCATTCTTATATGTGACCAACTTTTTTTTAATCTAACTCCAGTAAGGGAGGTGTGTTAGTGTCCATGTACTTTTCTTGCTAATGTGATCTTAAGGTAGATTTTATTAAATAAATATGGTATGTTTATTATGGTTTATTAGAGATAGAAGGGGCCACAAATTAGGTCATTTAACTTAACTTCCTTATTTTATACAAGAATCTGAACCTTAGAGAGATTAAATATCTTTCCCAGGGATTCAGTTCTAAGTGAGAGCTGGGTCTTGAACTTAGATAATCAGAGACAAATTCCAGTGCTTTCTTTACTACAGTGTCATGTCTTTTAATGAATACTATTAAAACAAAATGTGGCTTTGTGACTCTAAAGCCTAAGCTGCTTCATGACCTGTTGGTAGAAGTTCTTTCCAGGGCATGTTGACACCAACACACATGCACATGAAATATTTTCTGAATTAAAGGGCTGTGCTCTGTGACTAGCTAATATAAGAGGAAATTATAAATTTATATATATCTTTATTTACTTTGAATGAAGTAGCAATGTTAGTTTTTTTCTTTTTTAGTAATTGTTTTGAAATGCTTTCTCTTCGATGCTATTTCTCTTTTTTATTCCTTTTAGTGTTAATGATTTCCTTTTCCTTTAAAGACAATGTGAACATGTTTGATAACTTGTATGAATTCATCCCAGGAGTTGGATTTTATTATATAATAGTATTGTAGTTGCTGTTAGGTTAAGTTTTAAGTTTTTGAATTAAAAAAATGGGAGATGATTTGGTTCTTAGATATAGTAAAGTAAAGAAATGGGGACTGTTAGCTTTGTGAGAGCAATGATTGTGTTATTCCACCCTTGTGTCACTATTGCTTGGTACATGCCTGGCAAGTAGTAGGTGTTGAAGTGGGCACTCACGTTATTTCCTTGTGTTGAATTAATTTTTTGTAAGATTTTGCTTTGTCATCCATTTAGCAGGGAGGTACTGAAATATACTTTTAAGCAAGTAAAATATGTGATACTTTTTCATGTTTTGTATTGATGAATTTTTAAATCATTGCTTAGAATTTAAAGGAATACATGAAAACTATAAATAGGCAGGCTTAGTAGATTATGCAGCATGTGGTATCACTTGACCATCCTTATGAAGACATTCTTAATGTATTAATGGATTCCATCCAGCAGCTGCCTCAACTTTCTGGATAGTTAGTGGAATTAAGTGATCCAGATAAATGAGATTGGTTTCCCTACAGAATCTAGCCTCTGGTATTGGAGAAGGACAAATCAGGCAAATCTTAGCTTTGCTTTTGTGGTGACCACTGCTTAACTGCCACCATACAGACATTGCCTCCATCGGAGATGACAAATAGTCACTATCTACCACTAAAATAGGGCTGTGGAGTGTTAAGAGAATGAGAGAACAAAGCAGTTCTTCTGTTGCTGTTTGGTTGTATCCCACTGATGGCTAGTGTGATTCTCCTGGGTAGTTTTCTGTGAACTCACTAAATGCCTTGGAACAAATTATATGAAGTCATAAATACTTTTTTCGTGAGTTTATTTATGTTATTCTAAAAGAAAATATTTTTCTATTTGTCTTTCATGTGATAAAAGAATTTTAACAATCAGTAAAATATTCAGCAGAAAGTATGGTAAAGTTATAGGTTCAAGTATCATTTTTAGAAAATTGCAGGTATCAAATAAATTTACGTTTGATATTTGGCTAGATAATAAAATGACAAATTGACTCAGTTATGTAGAATCTCAAAGAATATAGTTTTTTTTTCTTTTTCTCTTTTTAGTAACAAAATTTGTTGTATGCAGGTACTTGATAGATGTATTAATTTTTAATTGAGTAAAAGTTGCTGCTACTTCTTTATTTAATGAATTATTCCCATAAGGTCTGAATATCTCAATTTGCTGGTCCAATGAAGCTTAATATGTTATATGTATAAAATAGTGAACAGTTCACATAATACAGGTGGTTTGCATAATAACGAGGTGATCTTTTCCTTAAGGTGTTATATGTTCTTCCTATTGTCTGGTGTTAAAGAGAACAAGATTCTTTTTATCTTAGACTCCCTAGATCATCTCAGGAAGCTACCTCACTGATCACCAATGTTATTTCTCAATGCTTTGAAGATTAATAATAAATAAAATTAACCTTAAGATAAATTTGGTTTTTCCTTTTTTTTTGTTTTTGAGGAAGATAAGCCCTGAGCTAACATCTGCTGCCAGTCCTCCTCTTTTTGCTGAGGAAGATTGGCCCTGAGCTAACATTCATGCCCATCTTCCTCTACTTTCTGTGTGGGACGCCTACCACAGCATGGCTTGCCAAGTGGTGCCATGTCCGCACCTGGGATCTGAACCGGCAAACCCCTGGCCACTGAAGCATAATGTGTGCACTTATCCAATGTGCCACCGGGCCAGCCCCTAAATTTGGTTTTTAAATTTTAGTAATTTACAATAGGGATAACCCATAAATTAAGAGAATGTGACAAATTGATTTGGTTAAAATAAAAGAAAACTAGGTATTTCCAACCGTATCAGTTTGGTTATCCTTAAATCATGACTTCTGTGTTTGGCCTGGCCTTTTTGACCACCGATAACTCTTTAAGTCTTGTGCCCATTTTAATTGATAGTGTTCCTTATTTCAAAATGAAACGAGATTTTTCACAAAAAGTGACAACTTACATGTAAAACTAAAGGAGGAGCTTAAAATTTGGAAGTTTCACAGTTTGAACTATAGAATTGATTAAATTCTTTTCCATTTTAGAAAATGGAAGTGTCCAAGTTGGAGAATTATTACCTTGCAAGATTTGTGGAAGAACATTCTTTCCAGTGGCATTAGTGAGTACCTCTTTCCTTTTGGGGTTTGATAGGTCAGTAATTGTTCAATGCTCAGCACAACTCACGTGGGAAGAACCTCTGTGGGATAATTTAAAGAGATACTGGCTAGTGTATGAATGTCCCCTGACTACAGACTCCTTTTAAATAATGACAGCTTCCTTCTTAACCTTTGAAAAATGTCTTGCCTACACTCACTTCAGTGATTTTTGTTGTTATTGATTCACTAGTTTTCAAACTATTTCAAAGCATTCAGCTGAGGTTTTACAGGGAAGAAAAGTCTTCTTTGCCCTTATTTATTTATTTAATTAAACTATATAATCATCATAACAGCTACAGCTTGTATAATCAGGTTTGGGAATAAGCACCAGGTACTTTTGACATATACAACTCAATTTATGGGAACAGATGTACGTGGGTCTACTGGAAAGTCTCCTGCTAGCCACACTTTCATTATTTTTTTAATACTTAAGAGATTTTATTCTAATGGCTATAATTACAGTGCTTGTTTGTCGAAATGAAAACTGAAAGTGTGTTTAAAACAATTAATTACTAATCGTGTGTTGAAAGTATGAGAGGCTGCGGGATGCCGGCCCAGCTAGTTCTGAGGTTTCCTCTGTTCTCAGATAAACTTTAACAGTTTCACCCTGTTGAGTGTTTATCAAAATACAAAAGAAAAAAAGTGCATTTAGTGCATGATGTCATCAGTGAACACATTTTATTTAGGGGAGGGAGAATGATTACTTAGCCAGTGGATTAATTGGAGGTCCATTAGGAGAGCTTCCATTGTAGTGTCCTTAAACTGAATAAATGAATGATTGAATGAATGAGTTGGCAGTCATATTAAAGAAGCTATAGGAGTGGAACACTAGGTAGCTCAAGAAAAATCCTTGGTAAAGAAAGGTAGAAAGCTTGAATTACAGAAGAGAGGAAAGGGGTGATTGTGGAGGAAAGACACAAATCTGACCTCTTTGTCTCATTGTTTTATGTTAACGTACTGCTATCCTGTTAACTTTAGTAACCCAAACTATTGTGTGAACTTCTGTAATTTTAACACTAATGCATTCTTCTCCATTTACATTATTTTTCTATTGTCTGTTTTCAGGTATTTAGTGATGAAGATAACTTTTTTCCCCACTCAAACAGCTTTGACTTGGTTACATTATTTTCCTTATCTTAGCAGTGTGAAAACTAGGAGAGTATTAAATATCTCTTAATAAAATTTTGGAAGAGTATTTATCTGTACTTTCTCGTGAGAAAGATGACTTATATCACATATTATATATACTTTATAATGATTTTAGTAAAGCAAGGTATGTCTTATTTATGTATTATTATTATTTATTTCATCTTCAGATTTTTAAACTGGTCTCAAATGGCAATTTAAGTAACGTTTTAGTCTTCTATAGAAAAGAGAATGACACATCGTTTTTCTTCACCTTAACAGAAAAAACATGGACCCATTTGCCAGAAAACTGCCACTAAAAAACGGAAGACTTTTGATTCAAGCAGACAAAGAGCAGAAGGAACTGATATTCCAACAGTAAAACCTCTTAAACCTAGGGTAATTATATGACCTTTTGAATAGTGTGAACCTTGCTGCAATATATATTGAAAAAATTATAATTATCTGTTATACTACGAGTGAAAAATAAGCAGAATTCTGAATCAAGTTCTCAGTTTAGAAATGATCAGAAACTTGTTTATTTCAAACTTCTGCAAAGGAGAGACCAAACTACTGTCTCAAACGCCAACTATTACTCTGAGGTTTTTGTAGCAGTAGAGAGCCAGTTGCTTAGCTGTAGGCTGGAAATAATTTAAAAATCCTCATATGTTCTTCTAAAGTCATTGTTAATTACTTCAGATAAGAGTTTGTGTCTCTCTCACCATTAGTGTAATCACTATATACAAAAGTCAAGCTGGAGGGGCCGGCCCCGTGGCTGAGTGGTTAAGTTCATGCGCTCCGCTTCGGTGGCCCAGGGTTTCGCTGGTTCGAATCCTGGACACTGACATGGCACCACTCATCAGGCCATGCTGAGGCGGTGTCCCATATGCCACAACTAGAAGGACTCACAACTAAAAATGCACAACTATGTACCACGGGGCTTTGGGGAGGCAAAAGGAAAAAAATAAAATCTTAAAAAAAAAAAAAAGTCAAGCTGGTATTTACAGACATCTTAGCATAATAAATATTGATTATCTTGATTGATGGGTTGTCAATATTTGTGATCTTATGCTTTCTGGGGAAGAGTTTTATCAGTTGCTCAATTGTCTACATATGGTCATTGTCAGCTTATTTTATTTCTTGGGACCAAAGCAACGAATATGATAATGTCTGTGATAATCCCTCATTAGTACCAACCATGATCTGTTCTATTGCTAAGAATAAATCACTTAAATACTTTGTCTGACATAGTTTTACAGAGCCATTTCACTGAAATATTCAAAACCTGAGTAGCTGATTGAATAGATTTTTGGAAAAAACCCACCTTTCACTGGTGATAACTTCTCCTAGTGACACAAGAAAACATTTTCCTATGGGGGAATTAATCTTACTAATAAAATCATTTGATAATAGAAAAGTCAGATATTCATCTTTATTTTTCAGTCTATGAATATTTAAAGGAAGGATGGTGAAGTTTGAGTAAGGTACATAAACTGTTATTTGAAGTTTTCTTAGTAAGCTGCCAGATATATGATTGTATTAGCTTTAATTAGCTTGGATAGATAAACGAATGAAATGCTCAGAGGCAGTATAACACAGTGGGTGCGAAACCTGGCGCAGGAGTCAGGCTGTCCGGATTCAACCCTGGCTCTGCTGCTTACCCTGTTGTGTTGGGCCATTTACTTCATCTCTACTTCTGCTGAAGTGTGAAATGGTGATGTAGTGGTGGCATTGAGCTTGTGGGATGATTGTAGGGATTATTACGTAGCCTTATCCATGGCAGTCTCTCAATAAATGTTAGTTATCCTATTTCTTTTGTAAGGGAGAAGGTTTGTACACTTAAAAAATTAATCTTCAGAAAAAAGCAAAGTGAAAACCATTGCTTTACCTTAGTAGTTTATTTTCTTGTTGCTTAAAGTATGATCCGTGGAGCAGTAGTATAAGCAATATTTGCGAACATGTTAGAAATGCAGAATCTCAGGTTCCACCCAGACATACTGAAGTAGAATCTTCATTTTAAGGAAATCCTTGGGTGAGTCATATGCACATTAAAGTTTAAGAAGCAGTATATTGGAAGATCATGGTGTAGGTCTCAATATCTTTACCTGTATCAAGGAAATCCTACAAAAAATCATAAGCAGAGTGGAGCAAAGTAAATAAAAACTCTGTTTTTGGAGAAACGAAAGGCAGGCATAATCCACAGACTACAAAATATATGTAAGGACTGCCCAAAGCAACTGAGATCCGGGAGCAGCCACTCATAGAAGACGGGCAGGAAGTTGCTGGGGAGCCCATGGCCCAGAATCTGGGAATCTGCCACCTTCAAGGTGACTCCTTAAAGGTGAGGAGTGTTATCAGGAAGTATATGTCCCTTGTTTACTCCCACCAAGGCAGGAACTGGGATGAGCTGCAGGAACTTAGATAGCGGGGAACTGGGATGAGCCTGGCTGAAATGGGACAAAAGCCAGGAGAGAAGTGGGGAGAAGAGGCACAGAGTTGAGGAGGCCCAGTGGCAGAGGCTCTCGGAAAGCACTGGTGAAAATGAAATACCCTTTCTGAAGGCGAGGGGCCTACTCTAAAGAACTGTGGCCTATTTTTGAAGTGGTCAGTGTGGGAACGGAGGGAAGCACGGCTGGCAGCAGTCACTCTTGGATGATGGTATTTTAGAGAAGCAGAAGAGGTAGGTCTATGTAATCACACAGAGAGGCTTTGTTTTTTTTTTAAAGAGATCGGCATCTGAGCTAACGTCTCTTGCCAATCTTTTTTTATTCTTCTCCTCAAAGCCCCCCACTACATAGTTGAATATACTAGTTGTGGTTCCTTCTAGTTGTGCTGTGGGACACCGCCTCATCATGGCCTGATGAGGGGTGCCATGTCTGCGCCCAGGATCCAAACTGGCAAAACCCTGGGCCACCGAAGCTGGAGCGCACGAACTTAACCACTCAGCCAGGGGCCTGGCCCCAGAGAGGCCTTTACCTCTGTCTCTTGTGCAACAGATAAGAAGGCTGTTGGTTTATGGAGCCTAGAAGGCTACCCTGGGCCTCTCCTTCTCCCTAAAACCTCTTGTAATAGTTGTACCAGGCACACCTAACTCTTCAAATAGCAAGTAGTAAAAAATGTTTCGCTGATCATTGATACAAGGAACCATGAGAAAAAAGGTTGAACGGAGCAGCAAAACTTAGCAGTAGGTGAGTAATGATCATTGTGGAGCAGATGACTGTTGTGATCAGACGTTTCAGTATAAAATAAGAAACTTGAAGGAATCAGTGATCTCAAACACCTAAATTTGCTTACATTTATATAAGATCTTTTCATCTGTCTTCATGAGAAAGGTGGGTCTGTAATTGTTCTCTATCGAAGTTTTGTTGCTCTCATAAAACTAGGTGGAAAGTTACTCTCTTGTTTTCTGTTTTTTGAAAGAGTTTGTAAAAGATTGATGTTATTTCTTCCTTAAATGTCTGCAAGAATTCAACAGTAAGGGCATCCAGGCCAGGAGTTTTCTATGTATGTTTTTAAATAATAGATTCATTTTTTAAAATAAATATAAGACTGTTATGATTTTCTTTTTTTTCTGGTATCTGTTTTTTGGTGTTTGTCAAGGATGTTGTCCATTTACTCTTCATTGTCAAGTTTATTAGCATTAAAGATTCTTTATAATTTCTCATTGTGTACTATTTTCTATTCCTTAGTAATTTATGTTTTCTCTTTTTTTCATAATTAGTCTTGCCTTATTAATGTTTTTAAAGAATCACCTTTTGACTTTGATTCAACATATATTCTTGATTTAAAAAATAAAGTTATGGGACTGGCCCAGTGGCATAGTGGTTAAGTTCACGCACTCCACTTCAGCATCTCAGGGTTTGCCGTTCGGGTCCCGGGAGTGGAGCTAAGCACCACTTGTTAAGTCATGCTTCGTGCTGTGGCAGCGTCCCACATAGAAACTGGAGGAAGATGGGCACAGATGTTGTCTCAGGGCTAATCTTCCTGAGCAAAAAGAGGAGGATTGGTGGCAGATGTTAGCTCAGGGCCAATCTTCCTCAAAAAAACAAAAAGTCATAATAGGAATAGTTGGATATTTCAGCAGTATGGCAAAATAAATCTCTTGTAGCACACGAGCCAGCATCATGTTTGGTGGAAAAAGATTTAGAGGTCGTTCCGTTAAAGTCAGGAACAAGAGTACGCTCCAACTAATGTAGTAAGTGCTAGCCGATAGAGTTAGGTAATAATAAGAAATTAGATGCGTAGGGACTGGAAAAGAGGAGGTAAAACTGTCACTATTGGGACATGATATACCTGGAAAACCCAAGAGAATTAGCTGTTAAATTACTACAAACAAAAAGAGAAGTCAGTGAAGTAATTATGTATAATAGTAATATACAGAAATTACCAGGTTTCATATTTCAAACAACCTCTTGAAACGTAAAAATGAAGAAAAGACTCTTTATAAAAGAACATCACAAAATATAAAATATTCAGGAATAAACCTTATAAAGGGACAAGTCTTCCACAAAGAATATTTTAAAAAACTGCTGAAAGACACAAACAAATGCTTCTTCAAATGGAAATATATGTTCTTGGATAGATAGACTCAGCATAATAAAGATTTTATGTTCCTTAGGTTGTTTATGAATGTAATGTTTAATTTTTCCATTTACTATAGTATTTTAAAAAAATTGGACAAGCTGATTCTAAAGTTAATATGGAAAAATATACATACAAGAATAACCAGAAAATATTGAGAGAGTAGCAAAATAAAGTTGGTTACTCTATCAGATATAAAAATATTATGTCTTAATATTTAAAACACTAGTACTGACACAAGGATCATCAAAACAATGGAACAGAAGAGAAAGTTCAGAAATAAGCCCCCGTACAAAAGAGAATATAATATGATAAAGGTGCTGTCTCAGTTCACTGGGGAGAAAAGTCAATAAAGGATGGTGAGTCAGCTGCATAACTATATTAAAAAACAAAAAGTAAAGTTGAACCCATATGTCACACCAGATATCAGGATAAATTCCAAGTGAGTGACAGACTTAAAATTTTAAAAATGAAACCATGAAAGTGCTAGGTGGAAACATGGAACATTTCCATTTTGCCTTGATGTGAGGTTGGGCCTTACTAGGTTTGGCTGCAAATCCAGAGACCATAAAGAAAAGATCTGTAAATTAAACTACATTTTAAAAATAATTCTGCAATGTGTATCAGAAGACCCTTAGACAAGGTCACAGGACAGATGTATTGTTGGGGAGGGTTAGGGCTAGTCTCTGAATAGTTAGTACAAATTGTTAAAAAAAAAAAATAAAAACACCAATAACAACATATAAGATGACCAGGCATATAAACAGTTCACAGAAAAGGCAATACAAATGATTCTTAATGATATGAAAAGATGCTCAATCTCGTTCATTGTAAGAGAAATGCCAGTTGAAACTAGAGAGAGAGAACTATTTTTCACTTGTCTAAACCCAGAAATTTGGTAGCATATTCCGTTGGAGAAATTACGGGAAAACAGAGAAATACACTCTTAGTGGGAGCTTAAATGGATGTAATACTTACTAAAGTCAATTTAGCAATGTCTGTTACAATTAGAATTACATTTTAAAAATTGCATGTAATATAGTTGCATAAAGTTTCTTTTTAAACTTAGAGATTTAGAAAGGACATCATTTAAGGATTCCTGATAAGAGGACATTTAAAATAATACGGCATTTTGTCAAGTTTTATTTCAATTTATCTAAAAAATGTTTTGAAACTGGTTTTTCTTTATTTATAGCCTGAACCACCAAAGAAACCATCTAATTGGAGAAGAAAACATGAAGAGTTCATTGCCACCATAAGAGCTGCTAAAGGCCTTGATCAGGCTCTTAAAGAGGGTGGCAAGCTTCCTCCTCCTCCTCCGCCTTCTTATGATCCTGGTATATGGGGCGTCGTTGATGGAAGTGTTCATGTGGGGAGAAGATAATGATAGAATTTTTATAAATATCAAGTTGTTTTTAAACTTAATTTATCATAGTGGAACCTGATGAGGCATAATCTTTAAAAGCTTTGCTGTAAAATAATGATAACCAGGCATTGAGGCTTATAAAGACACATCAGTGTTGAACATAGAAATCATTATCTTTTTATCTTAATACTTTTATTTAAACATAAAGCATTATAATAACATTTTTCAAATTATTGTAGTAACTATTAAATGTTAATATTCCAGGAAATATTTTAATCATGCTTACTGTGGATTGAAATGTAGTCATTCAGTAAGATTCACATAGTTATGTTACCTCGTTCTTTGGTATCTTGTCATCTGGGAAGGAAAAAGATAGCATAATATTGCTTCTAAAATGTGCAATTCATGTGGGGAAACTACCATATAGACTGATATACCTAAATTTAAGTATTATTATATTTTCTTCATTGAATGGGTAAAAATTACTTCAGTTTACCAAAAGCAAGGCAAGATACTGTCAACCTTATTTGAGATATTGAGATAGTGGAAGATTTAAAATAGCACAGTTGACACTTTGACGTTGGTTATTAGAGTAGTCTAAAGAGGTAGTTATTTTAACATAAGTTAGCTGTTGTAGAGGAGAGGTTGGCAAACTTTCTATAAAGGTCCAGATAGTAAATATCTTATGCTTTGCAGGCCATGAGATGCAACTACGTGAGTCTACCACTATTGCAAGAAATCAGCCTCAGACAATGTGTAAATGAGTGGGCATGGCTGTGTTCCAATAAAACTTTATTTATAAAAACAGACAGTAGGCAGGCTAGATTTGGCCCACGGGCCCTAGTTTGCCAACCCCTGTTGTAGAGTATTAGTAATTAACTTTAACGCTGTGAGTGTTTGTGAATGTTTCAAGTAGGTTTAGGTTTCTTCTTCTTCTACCTTAATTTTCCCTGTGAGGTTGAATTTTCTTTCTGCTTTGGAGGTATTTGTATATTACATTTTATTCAACATAGCTGTATTTCTCATGTTTGCATATGTTAGAGAGTGCCAGTTCTCAAGGATAATTTGGACTTTAGAAATGTTTTAATCTCTTAGTGCTGACAAAACAACTTCTTTGTTATTAGAGATTTTAGGCCTGCTTCGATAGTAAGGACAAATTTCTGAGCTTCAGATGAATGTAAATTCTAAAGGACACACTCTTTGTAAAGTAAACCTGTTGAAATAAATTGACATATTTTTTGACAATCCAAAATTTTTTGTATTTATGGCTTATCAGTGTCTCATAAAATTGAGAACTCTTACAATGCTACAAAATTTGGTTCTGTCTGGGATAATTTTGAGATTTCATTTTGAAAGAAATTTTATTTACAGTATACATTGCATTTTGGAAGAATATTTTATCTTGGAAACATTTGCTGTTTCTTAAATTTGAATTAATTATGTTAATGAGGTATATTTTTATCACTTCTTCCATCTGTTGGGACCTCTAAGACAAAATAAAACAGTTTAAAGTCAATTAAGCTATTCCTTGACAGTTTTCCTCTAATTAAAATAAAAGATTTTAACAGATGAGGCCAAATTTTAAAATGTAGTTTCAATGTATTATATTGTTACTATTTGACTGGTGTACTGTATAAAAATATGTATATATGATGAAACATATGGTATTATAGAGGCAAAAAAGAAGTAACATTTTTCCCTCTACTAATTGTTTTGTACTGAGGATTTATCTTTTTGTTCTTTTTTCCTCAAATTTGATTCTAAGCTGGTAGAAAATTGGAATTTATCATATACTAGCAAACTTTTTCTTAAACGTCCTTACTAAGTTTACCTAAGTCAGGTTGAGTGGTTATAAGGAGATGAGAGTTTTTGCTTATTAAATGTTATTATTTATGTTAAACATCTTGAATCACCATTCATAAAAGCTTATAAATCTTTATGTCGCTTTTCAAGTGTTGTTAATCTGTTTCTTTTTTCTGCCTTAGATTATATTCAGTGCCCATATTGCCAGAGAAGATTTAATGAAAATGCAGCTGATAGGCATATAAATTTCTGTAAGGAACAGGCAGCACGTATTAGCAATAAAGGCAAATTTTCTACTGATACCAAAGGAAAAGCAACTTCCCGGACACAGGTGAAATGCTCAATTTAATCCTTTTTACAAACAAATGAGAAAATGACTCTAGTTCACAATTTTGTCTTGATGCTTTACAGAACATTTAACTACAGTTCTCTCACCTGCTAAAATTTATATTTACTGTTAGGGATTTAGTAAAAAATTTGAATGGCTAATTGAGAACAAGTAGTTTAATTAGTTAATTGAAATGGACTTGGTAGAGAGTTGAAAATAAACAGTTTTAAAGAGGTATTAGGAAAAAAGTAAGAAAATAAGTTAAAAATAGGTGAAGCAGAGTCAGAGGAAACTAGAGAGGTTAGAAGAGTGAGAAAATGGCAATAAAAATCGACATTTGAAGATCATGTAAGTGCTGAATGTGACCGTGCTATATATGAGTAATACACAGAGTGAATGAAAGCCTGGGGTCAGATCCGAACCACTGCTCTTGAATTTTTAGGGAAATAACGTTTCATGTATGGAAGGCTTTGTTTCTTCATCTGTGAAGTGGTAATCTACACGATCATTGTGAGAAGCAAGTGAAGTAATGTATGTGAAAGCCCTTAGATGACCATAAACCATATAAGGAATTTGTTGTATAAAATTAATTTTTATAGTACTATGGTTTTTCTTTAAGCATATTGTTACACAAAAACTTTGATAATGTCGTACTTTTAAGCAAATTTCATTGTTCACAAAGCTTTCATTTGTAAACAGTTGTTTTAATACTGTAAATCTAGCAGGCAGTAAATAATCAAATCCATTTCTCTTGTTACTTATGAATAAAATGCTGGGTTAAAAGACTGTTATAATTGAGGCTTCCTTGAGAGAATCCTCTTATTGAATTTTTGGTAATATAATTGGAAAGGGAACATATCATTGTCATCATCATCATCGTGGGGAAAGAACAAAGAAGAAAACTCATTTTGGAGAATGTCCAGAACAGATGTCAAATAATGTACATCTTTTAAATAGTTAAGAACACTAATATGATTTTTTTTTTTGTTTTAAGAAAAAAATAGTCAGTAGAGCAAAGGAAATAGAGTAGAAGGTGTATATTCCAGCAACATGGTGCCGCATGATTGGTAAATGTAAATCCAAGTAGTTGATAGTTTCCACCTTAAATTGTATCACTTCTGCTTCCATACCCAGTCATATATATTCATTTCAGTGTAACCTCATATTTTCTCATTTCTGTTCATTCAAGAAATTTTTATTGAGTACACTCTTTGAACCAGACAGTGTGTCAGGTACTGGGTTTATATTAGTAAACTAAATAGAATCTTTTTCCTAAAGATGCTTAAATGCGTCCTTGTCATATTTAACAACTATAATCTGGCCTGATTAGAACCCACTTGTTGACCCTGCTCTGATCAAAATAGTGATACAGTACAGTCATGTGTTGCTTAACAACAGGGATACGTTCTGAAGAATGCATCACTGGGTGGTTTTGTCATTGTGCGAACATTATTGCCATACTAAATATTGTAGCTTCTAAGTCTTAAAATCAGATAGATTTTCTTCTTTTCTCTCTGATGTTTTTCTTTTTTCCCTTGATCATTCTAGCTAGAGTTTTATCAATTTAATTACATCTTGTCAAAGAAACTGCTTTTGATTTCATTGCTCCAGCTGCATCTCAAAAATCTTAATATGTGGATTTTGTTTTTATTGTTCAGTTCAAAATATTTTCTAATTTGTGACTTCTTCTTTTGCTCATAGTTTATTCAAAAGTGAGTCATTTACTTCTGGTTATTTGGCGCTTCTCTAGATATTTAATTGTTTATTTTTAACTTAATTCTGTTGTATGAGAACATACTTGGTAAGATTTCCGTCTTACTGAGATTTGTGTTATTGCCTAACATGGTATTTTTTTGTGAATGCTCCGTGGCATGTGAAAAAAAAAGTGTCTTCTGCAGTTGTAGGGTATAAAGATTTATAAATGTCGATTAGGTTAAGGGGGCTGGTAGTGTCACCCGGATCTTCCATGTTCTTACTGCCTTTTGGTTTAGATGTTCCATCAATTACTGAGGGAAATGTGTTAAAATCATCAGCTGTGATTGTGACTTTTTCTGCTGTCATCAATTTTGCCAGCTTTTGCTTCAGGTACTTTGAATTTCTCTTCTTAATTGTATTTACATTTATAATTTGGTGTATCTTCCCCATTTATTGACCCTTTTATCATTCTGGAGTGTCCTGTTTTGTCTATTGCAGGATTCCTTGTGTTGAAGTGTGTGTCATCTGATAATATGTAGCCATTTCAGCTTAATTCTGTTAATTTCCTTTTTGTAACTTAAATTTGTGTTTTTCATCTTATATAGACAGCATATAATTGTTCCTTTTTTTAAATCCGATATTGTAACCTCAACCTGTTGAAGTTTTTAGACATTTATATTTGATATAATTATTGATATGGTTGTATTTAGGTCTGTCATGTTGCTGTTTTCTATTTTTGTCTTTTTTTTTGTTACTTCTTTCAAGTTACTTCTTTTGTTACTTTAAAGAAAGAAGTTTTGTTACTTCTTTCTTTCTTGCCTCTTTTGTCTTAGTAAAAGATGTTTTATTTTCTCTATTGGCTTTCTAGCTATACATTTTTAATTTTTTTAAATGGTTACTCTACAAATAACAAAATGCATCTTTAACTTAGCGCTATCTTTGGATATGTCCATATACCTCGCACCAATTTTAGAGCTATTATATATATATATAAAAACTCCATAGATATTATAAACCTATCACTACTCTTGATGGTTATTGTTATATAACATATACTTATTGCTTTAAAAGTCATCTGCCCTTTAAATAAATTAGGAGAAGAAAATAAATATATAAACATATTTATACATATATGCACACATATTTATGCATATACTTTATATTCGCTCACATATTATCATTTCCAGACCTCTTTATTCCTTCTTCTAAATTTGAGCTGCCATATTTTGTCATTTCCCTTCAGCCTGGAGAAGTTTCTTTGGCTTTCTAATAGTGCAGATCTGTTGGCAAGGAATTTTCTGTTTTTGGTTATCAGAAAATTCTTGTATTTTGCCTTAATTTCTCTGTCGAGATTCCCTGTCTGTTCATTCACTGTTACCCTATTTCCTTTTGATTCTTGTACATATGTTCCTTTACCTTTTGAACAGATTTATAATTGTTTTTTGTTTGTTTTTGTTTTTTCGTATTTTTTTTGGTGAGGGAGATTGGCCCTGAGCTAACATCTGTAGTCAGTCTTTCTCTTTTTGCTTGAGGAAGAGTGGCCCTGAGCTAACATCTGTGCCAGTCCTCCTCCATTTTGTATCTGAGATGCTGCCACAGCATGGCTTGATGAGTGGTGTATAGATCCATACCCAGGATTCGACCCGGAGAACCTGGGCCACCAAAGCAGAGTGGGTGAACTTAACCAGTCTGCCACTGGGCTGGCCCCTATAATAACTGTTTTGAAGTTCTTAACTGCTAAATCTGACACACCTGTGCCCACTTGGAGTCAGTTTCTATTGACTGTTTTTGCTGAATAAGGGTCATACTTTCCTGTTTTCTTTTTCCTTCCTTTCTTTCCCTCCTCCTTTCCATTCCCCTTCCCTGCAGTAAACACACAGTACACAGTTGCCAGTTTTCTGGAACAACTGCTCTTAGATGGTTTCCAGTCTCTTAAAATCTCTTTTTTAATCCTCTTTTAAAATGTCATCTCTAGGAGGGTTATACAGCTGCTTCACTCCTCCACCATTGCATATGTAATATCTTTAATTTCTTGAACTTGGCTATTTTTCTAATTTCCTATATTACTTATAGTTTCTAACTCCCTGTTAATATTTTCAAAGTTGTCTTGATTTCTTTCAATGTAGTCACCATAATTGTTTTATGTTATGTATCTAGTAATTACAGCATCATGTGACCATTATGGATATATTCTTGCTGTCTTTTTTTTCCTCATTTGTGGTTCCTTACATTATTATGTACATAATTCTTATTGACCTTTTACTGCTTGTTGCCCTTAAAAAGTTATTCATGAAGATTATTCTTGTGAAGTGCCTTCTTCCAGAGGACATCTGTATTATTTCTTTCAGATACCTGAGAGTGCGACCAGTCTGGAAGCACTTTAAATTATCGGCTTTACCTTGCTTGACCAGCCTGGTCATACAAACTCATACAGCAAATCCACATGATGGCCAGATCGTTGTTAAAGTCTCACATGGTGTTGGCCTGGCAGTTCTTTTTTCTCTCATCTGACATTCAGTGCTTTTAAAATGATTTCTTGTACTTTCCTGAGCATTTTTAGTGTTTACTTGAAGGGTTGGTTCAAATAGCGCCTTCTCCCATTTTATCAGAAATGAACGTCTTTCGTGTTCTTTAATTTTTTCCAATTTCAATAGTCTTCATAAATATAAATATTTTACTAAGGAGACTTATTAAGTATGAGATCTGTATAAAAACACATGAAGTGATAAGCACCTAACAAATATTTATGCAATGAATGAAAGAAATATGTATTGACTATAACTGTATAAAAATGAAGTGATTTTGTTCTTTTGATCATTAAAATGGATTTACACAAAGTTGTTGCCAGCAAGAGTCGTCCTGAAAGCCTGTGTAATACTGGTAGAATTTCAGGTAGATATTGTAGAACAGACAAAATGCAGCTCAGTGAGGAAGCGGTCAGATTACCTAGGTCGGGGGAACAGCAAGTTACTGAGAGGCAGGAGAGTATGTTTTAAACAAGAGGCATTCAGAGCAGTCCGAGGGTTCAGTAAGGAAACTAACCTGACTAGTTCTTGTTGAAGGTAAGAGGCAATACAGGAGATAGATAAGGTTGGGCTAGGTTCTGGATATCTCAGAAAAACTGACAATAAAATAGAGTAAAACATTAGGAGGCCTAATACAGAGCCGAGAAACAAAGCACCTTTTGAAAGGAATATTGTGTCTTTTTCTATTTGTGAGCCATTAAGTTAATAATAATAGTCTCAAATATGAACATAAAAATCTTGAGCCCCCACTGTGTAATGCTACCAGGGCCTTCCTGCCTGTGCCCAGCCTGAGACAGTATGTGATCCCTGCCCCAGTGCCCTTCTTCATGCTAGTCATTGTGCTCTTCTTTGGTAGTTAGCACAGTATGAGTGGGTCACCAATCCTGTTTCTTGATCCAGTTTTATTGACCCTGTTTTGAGTAGACATGTCTCTGATATTTTAACAAGTCTTTGTTAGGTCTTGTTTTCCATGTTGTTAGTTTTAAGATATTTCCTAATATCTTCATTGGTATTTTAGTGGGAGAGACTGATACTAACCAGATGTCCTTTTAAACGAGAAACACCTCTTAGGTTTTCAAAGAAACTGTCTTTATATGGCTCATCTCCAAAGTCTTCTAATCATTTGTTCATTGACAGACAGTTATTGAAGGTTTTCTATTTGCCAATTGCCTAAGAAATTTCAGTTTCTGGCATTGTCGTGCCAAATGTGCATGGTATTTGTGTGTGTGAGTGTGCCCCTTTTATCGAGATTTTTTTTTCCAAAGATCACATACTGAATTTTGAAGGGTTATAATGTTTGACTTTAAAATTTGTGTTTAACCCACAGTTATAGTAGTGGTACATCTTAGATTTCATTCTGATTATTGATTATAAAATATTCGATTTTTGATAGTTAGGTTTAACACCGGTTTCTCACCTAAAGTCCTTAGCAGTCTAAATAATGCACTGGGCTGAGTCTCAGGTACCCATGTAAGCACGGTAATCACCTTATATTTGAAGCACTGGGCTGTAACTAAGGTGACATGCGTCTTAATTCCTGTTGTGTTAAGTTGGGGTATAACCCTGGGCAGGTTCATTTCTTTGTATTGGAGCAGATCATGACATATTTTTGTATTCAGCATTTGAGCAAAATTTGGCTCAAATAAGAGACAGTAAAATAAAATTAATAATGAAATCCGTCTAGAGAGTAGAGAAAAAGTAAAAATAAACAAGATAAGCTGAAATACCCTATCTTTTCTCAGGCCATATTCCATTCATCTAATATGGTCTGGTGAGGATAGGGAAGCCAGGGTTAGCTCCTTCTCTTCACATTGGGGAAATCCAAAAATCAGCTATGTAAAACTTCTGCAGACTGATAGGTAATCTTATGAATTTTTATCACTAGGAAATATGGCTGGATTATATATATGAAATATAAAACTACACCCAGGAACATGTAAAAATCTTGACCTTTAAAGCTGTACCACCAAATGAACATCTTTGGGTGTTTCTAAGTTTTTTCTATTAATGTTTGCTTGGCATTTAAATTCTTAACATTGAGGAAATTTTTTCCATTAAACTTTTTTTTTTCCTGAGAACTGGGAGAAGTTGCTCTTAGTTTATTTTAGCAGTGGGACATCTGAGCCAACTTTCTAGTATGCCAGTTTTGAAAGGGAACGTATTTTGGGAAACCTCTCTTTTAGGTGGTGTATTTTAATCTACACTTTCTCCATTTGGGGAAGTCGGTAGCTAATAAAAAGATCGCTCATTTAAGGGACTGTGAGATTTTGAAATACTAGTTTATAATCCTTAGTCAAAACGTGTTGACAAGATATTTTATTTTCATTATTTTAGTATAAGCCGCCTGCACCTAAAAAGTCGAGTTCTCCTGGAACTGCGTTGTCAGGCTCTTCACGATTACCGCAGCCGAGCAGCACCGGCAAAACTGTTGTAGGTAATGAGCTCCGTAAAATAGCTTGTCTTTTCTTCTTTTCTTTAAACAATGTTGGTAGAGAAGGAAATGAAGTTAGTGTTCTATTCTGGATTATTAAAATAGATTTATAAATAGGAAACGATGTGGAGGGATAAGTAAGTTATTCTGGGTAAAAATAAAGTGACTTTCAACAGCTTCTACTTTAGATATTTTATAGTCCTTTTTTTAGCTTAAATGTCTATCCTTGATGTTGTTATTAATGTATCATCTCTTCAGAATAGTCAACCTAATTGTTTTCTTGATTCTTTGACCACAGTATTTTTTCCCTCATTTCTACCTGTACCTCTCTGATCTCGACAATTGTCCTTAATAGACAAACGTTTGAAGAAGATATTGACTACTGAAGTGTACCTTTATTTGTTTGTAAATTGTGAGAAAGAAATACAGAAATTAGAAAAGACGGATGCTACATGTTGTTCCCTGGAAATTTCATTTTTTTAAAATAATTTTCTTGTTGGTAACTTGTTTTGATTTATTGCCACAGAGATTTAGTGCCACTAAACCCTTGTCTTCCTTGTCAGATGCTCTGTTTTCTGTGATTTTTCTTTTTCAGAGTGTCGTTGAAACTAATACCTTTTTTATTATAAGGTGTGCCTTCAGGTAAAGTGTCTTCAGTTAGCAGCTCTGTGGGAAACAAACTTCAGACCTTATCCCCCTCCCATAAAGGGATTGCAGCCCCTCAAGTAGGGTAAGTCTACGCTGAATTGATTCATTAATGATATATATATATGGTACTAAGATTTTATTTTGTTTAGATAATTGGCTTTTTCATTAACCTTAACTTTCTTTCTAAGTTCATTTGCCTTGTAATGCCTTGCTGGTCAGGAGCACACTCACTGCTCTTGAGGGTCTAAATTAGTACAACCATTTTGGAAGAAAATCTGGTGGCATTATCAAGAGCCTTAAAAACGTTTATATTTTTGATTGAATAATTTTACTGCTGGGAATCTAGTCTAAGGAAATTATTTGAAATAGAGATGATTTTTGTAATAATCATAATTTATTAAGCTTTATGTGTCAGGCACTGTGCTAGATATTTTACAAAAATTTTTTTAAAGTCACCCCACGCCTTAGGATGAGAGGCTCAAAGAAGCAAAAGTAGTTTGCTCACAGCCGCACAGCTGTCAGGAGTAGAAGCAGGGTACAAACTGGGGTCTCTTTGGCTCTAAACATTAGTCTCTTCTATATGTTTTTATTGTAATGTAAAAAAAAATCACAAAAATGTCTAGCTTTGTTTGAATAGCAAATTATGAACAATCTACAAAGGGATAGTATGCAACCATAAAATATATACACATTTTAATAAGATGATCCTGCTGTCACCAAAGAGGAATGTTGGATGCAAACTCCCTGTATACTATGATAGAAACTATAAAAATATCTGTAGACAAAAAGGACAAAATATGCTGAAATATTAACAGTGTGTGATTCTTTTCTTTTTATTTAATACTTTTAAAATACGTTCTGTATTTCTACAGTTTTATATACACAGCTTTTAATAAAGTAGCATAATTAAGCTTTGAACAATTATTTTAATCTGGAGAAATCATTGATAGTGCTAGAGATTTTAATAGAAGGCCTCCTATTCCAGTGGAAACTCACTTTCTCTTCCATTTTGTTAAATCGGAAAATTAAAGGATTGCCACATGACCATTAGAATGAGGGCTTATGTCTATATCTTTACAAGTACTGATCGAGTTGATTTAGGAAATAGAGCACACGTTATTTTCAGATATAGGTTATCACTTTAGTTTTCATGTAGGAAATATATACAAGAGTATGTATCAAGTGAGAGTAATGCCTTTGTTTCCTAATTTGGACTATGTAGAAAGTACAAGACCTAAAAGGAATTTTGTGTAATTATCACTGCAGAAAGAGAAAAAACTCAACTGACAAGATCTCCTTAGTTAAATGTTTTTTCTCCTTGTTGTGCTTCCAAAAAGAAGAGACAGACTATCCTTAAGAAGGAGAGAGGTTATCAGTAGAGCAGGTGGTTGAAAAGTAAAAGGCTCTCATCTTCCAGTGGGGAAAAAACTGACTCGACCTTGTTTTTTTGCTTCTGTACAGAGGCAGCTCACTAGATCTTTAACTAAAGTACAGACACAGCCATATATGTTTCAACTTTACAAAGCCTTTTTTACCAAATCACGGAGAATCGCCTTCCATGTTAAGTTATAGTGCTTGTGCGTCATATTGTTTATGGTTTCGTTTACAGTTGATTATGAATCAAAAGCTGATATTTTTAAGTAGAAATATCAGAAAACTAGGCTTCTAGACCCTCTTTTGCCACTAAGTAGCTCTCTGACTTTGTGTATATCTCTTTTCTCTGTCGCACGCTGACAACATTCTGTGACTCTTGCTTAGACCTTGACAACTGAACTCAGAAAATCTGGTCAATATTTATATGACCCCCTAGGACAAAATATGTTTTTACTAACAAGCAAAGATTTTGAGCTCAATAATTTTATGTTATGCACTGCTTATAATGCGTGAAGATTTAAAATTTCTGGTTGTCTCATATTAAACTGTCAAACATAACTATTCAGTTTCTGATTGTCTGTTCTATATATGATCCTTACGTGTGAAGGGAGTGTTTCCAACTACTGGAAAGAGTGGTGGTGTTTGCTTCTGGCCAATACATTAGTGTATTAACCGGAACATTATTATATTACTGTATTAAATGGAGCCATTCATGGCTGTCTATTTAGTAGCAGAGTTCATTCCTTTTTTAGGATTATTGAGGTAGTGATTTGTTTCTCTGTTTCCCTTGCTAGATTGTAAGCTCTTTGACAGTAAAGCTCTATGTGTTGGCCTTGCTTACAGATGTAACTACATAATGCCTTACATATGGGGACAATTTTTGGCAAATAAATGAAAAAAAATGAATTAATAAATTAAATCCCTTGTTTGTCAACCTATTGGCATATCAAAAATCATGTTTCTGGTAATGATGGAATAATTAATTGACGTTTGTATGGCAACCATTATTTCCATTGACACAGATGATTCAGGATTGAATAAGATACAATTAAGACTTGGATAGCTGTAATGTATAATCTTTATTGTGGTCAGCTTCAATTATGCATACCAGTGATCTGTAATATTTAACATACATTGGAGTTATACCACAGAAAAATTTATCTTTGTACTTGGAAAAATTTTTGTGTTTTGTAATTGACTTCTAGACAACCTGTGAGTCAACTGATTTTAATAGATGTTTTTTAATCAAAACAAACCGTGTGGGAATATTTTCCCTTATTCTTTTTTGTTCTTGTTGTTGCAGTAACATTGTTTTATAACATTATATAAATTTCATGTGTACATCATTATATTTCAATTTTTGTGTAGACTGCATCATTTTTACCACCCAAAGACTACTTGTGCCCTGTTATACCTTTTCCCTTATTCTAAAAGGTGATTATCTTTAATCCTAGGGGGTTTTAGAAGTATGACGAAACAGAGCTTTTAAATAAATATTGCCACATTTGAATTGTGTCACAGAGTTTACACAGTCATTCCTTGAGAATCATGTTTTCTTAATGGTTAATTACCAGCTTAAATGGACATTTCAGCTGATAGTTTTCAATAGCTAAAATATCAAATTTCAGAGATTTACTTCTGTCCAGTTACCGTGAAAAACAGAAGTTTACTTTGGGGCAACAGCATACATGTCAGGACCATTTCTTAATGCAAAAATTGAATTTGGTTTCTCATACTTTAATTAACAGCAGTAAGAAACAAATGTCTAGTTTTAAGTACATTTTTGTATGAGTGGAAAGAGGCTTTTCTCATAAGCCAATCTTTCGATGTATGTGAATTAAGTTTATGTGGAAGATTATGTAGACTTTCATGACCTTTTCTGTCCTGTGATATTTTTATTATTGACCTACAAATGCCTGAAACAACCTAGAATTGCAGTTTGGCTTCTTATGTGGATAACAATGATTGAGACTGTTGGATTAGGAAAGTTAACTTTGCCATGAAAGTGAAATACAGAATTACCAGTATAGGGTTGATGAGTTCAGGATCAAAAGCAGAAGTACAGCATATTTCAAAACTGAATGCCTTGGAACATCATGACATTGGAGGTCTATAAAGATACGAAATACCGCCTGGTACATTTTTCCCCAATAGTAGTTCAGAAGTCATCTTTTTATTATCTCTCAGTCTGCTATGCTTACTATAGTCTTACTGAGTGGCTTATTTCCTAAGAGAATGCACTTACATGGTATCAACAGTAAACAAGGCCCTTCCTTAGGGTAAAGTTTATTTCAAATTAGAAATAAGTTGATATCATTGCCAAATATTTCTAAAAATGCTCATTCAGCTATGAATATTTTGAAAGCTTGCCAAAATATTACTCCTTCTAGATATACTGTTCATGTCATGGCAGTTATATGCAACTACAGATAGTCATTTTAAATTAAAAAGTCTTGGTTAAGATAGAACAGTTTAGCATCTACAGAAATGTGTTAGCTTGACAAAAAGTAATATATTTTTGGGGAGGAAGACAGGATAATGTAGTGTTATTTATCATAACCCTTTAATATATGGTAAAATTTTAAAAAGTCATCATTGAAATCTGCCTTTCATTTAGATTTTCAAAATCTTAAAATACTGGCATCCTCTCATAGATGCAATTTTTATATTTTAGAGCAGATGATCTTTTTGAATTATGGTTTGAGAGCCAAATCTTGCCCAACACCTGTTTCCATTGGAACATGGCCACACCCAATTATTCATGTATTGTCTACGGGTGCTTTCATGCTACGGGTCAGAGTTGAGTATTTGTGACAGAGAGAGAATAGCCCCCAAAGCCTAAAATACTTCTCTCTGGCCCATTACAGGAAAAGTTTGCCACTCCCTATTTTAGAATAAGTAAATTATCATAGAAATTAGGTATTTATAATTTGAAGGTAGAGGTTTTAAGAATTCTTTATTTATATGCGAAGATAAACTGTTATATTTTAAGTCATATGGCTATCTAGTAACTTTGGCCATAGATTAGTGTTGCATGGAACCAAAGTGTTTTTTGACTTCTATTAATTCAACACTTTTCTGTGGTTGAATTGAAGGAACTCTTTTGTGTTGTCTCTGACCAAATCGGTGCCAACTTAATGACATATCCTTGAATATTATATGTGATTAAAATTCTATGCTATGTGGTCAGATTGCTTATTCTGCAAAATGTATGCTATGTAGATGTACTTGGTTGGCTTAAAAAAATACCCTCATTTTTTTTTCCGTAGCTGCAACAAGACTGCTTTTACTGCTGAATGGATTTATTTATTCCTGCCTTAATTTCTTTCAGACCTTGGGTGTGTAATAATTGTCATTACTCAGTTGGAGCCTTTAAAAGAAAAATACCATAGATAGACTCTAAAAGACATTGATATTGATAGTTCCAAAATGGAGTACTATCAGATTGAAATTATATTTCTCAAAGTTTGTGATTAATTAAAAAATACATGAAGTGGAATTCTCATTGTACTCTCCCCAACATTGATTAATTCTCAAAGTAACACTAGATGTAGATGATGTAACTTGAAACATCTAATGCCCCTGATGTCAGGGCAAAGCATGTGGTAGACATAGGCTTCCTGGGTCCTATATTCATCTTATTCACTTCTCAACTGATAGTTTGCAAGACAAGAAAGACACAGAGAAGAAACTTCAACCCAAAAGCAA